AGAGTCCGCGTGGGTGGACTGAGAACATAAAGGGGAGAGAGAACCCGAGACGGGGAGATGTTAGGGCCCCTCGGGCAAGCTGGAGAAGGGGCATAGCAGGGGTATGGGCTGTTGCTGATCTTAGTTCTAGCCACGCCGACTGGCTGCCTTATAGGAGCAGCAATCACCTTAGCACTGGGAAAAGGTAAGAGCTGGGGAAGACCCCAAAACCAGGGCAATGTCCACCCTGAAGCCCTCCCCTAGTCCACCTGGAGGGCCTCCTGGAAACAAAAGTCTGCTCACATCAAACTGCCCACGGTGCCAGGTTAGGTAGAAGTGCATGGGAATACGCAGCCTCGAGTCTGCTCGCTTAATCAAACTGTCATCGTGAGTAATAATTATAACTTGGGAAACAGTGGAGTGACTCAAAGGGCTGTCCCCTCCCCCCCGCCACCCCCTTGCTTGCTGCACACAGTGTTAAGAGGCCCAGAAAGCGGAGCCACCATTTCCTCCTGCCTGTCAGCTCTGCACGCTTCGCGTGACCTCTCAGACACCGGGGCCTGATGGGCATTCGGGGACGGTCTCCTTGCCCGGTAAAGAGTTCACTGGGCCCGGCCGCTTCTAAAACACAGTCGAGTGGGAGGGGACGGGGGGAAGTAAATACTGGTGTATCCCTGGTGTGTGTCTGGGGACAGCGCCCAGGACAAGCTATGTGCTGCCTCTCAGAAGGTGGCCTATATCCTCTGGGGGGGTGGGGGGGAGTGCTTCTCAACCAGCCCAGATATAGCCGTAAGTGTAAGAACATAGGAGAGCACACACTTATTGGATGCCTACTGTGTGCCTGTTAAAGGACTGAATGTTTTTCCTACAGTCGAGGCTATTAAGCTGGTGCATAAAACCATCTGGGATGTAAAAATATGAAATAGTCCATACTCGTTGGTAAATGTCCCCTGCCGGCCCCCTGAAGGCCTGCCTCCTCCACACCCGGGCTCCCCATGGTGCCCGAACCCTGTGACCCTAGCACAGCAGGAGGCCTCGCTGATACGTGCCCAGGCTTTGGAATATTACTCTTTGATATTTGAATATTTTGGATATACTATGTCACTCCATCCTCACCCAGAGCCCCGTTGTCATCTCCTTCCTACAGATGGAAAGCCAGGGCTACGTGACCTGCCAAGGTCAAGGAGGGAGTCCCAGAGCTAGGCTGGACCCAGGCAGATGGACTCTGATCCTGAGTTCTTGACCACTGACTGCCTGGTGGTGAAAGCATACTGGTGCTGCAGAGATGGCCACCACTGTCCCTGCCCTCCTCCTTCACCCTGGCATTGACCCAAACTCCACCAGAGACTCTGCATCCCCAAGCTGGCATCATTTCTCTTTATTACCATGCGTTCAGTGCCAAGCACGTCACAGTTGTGCAGCTTTATGCCGGACACCCACGTGACCAACCTTGGCTCTCCTTTCACCTGGGAGGCCAGGGTCACATGGTCCGGACACACATGGGTCTGGGCAGGGGAACACCGGCGACTGAGTGACATACTACTCAGGGTCCACCCCACGGTAGTCTCCCTCCCTTCCGTGTTCTCACCAGCAGTTTTACTTGTCCTTGCAGTATTCAGGGCACACGGAGCTCCTATCATCACCACAGAGAGCTAAATGCCAAGGGACCTAGACTTTTCCCAGGGTCCTCTGCACAAGGGAACATGGCCCTGGCTACGGTGGGAAGGATTAGCCCAGCACAGGTAGGAGTCTGTGTCTGTGAAAGATGCATGATGCTGGGAAAGTTGCACATAAAAGCTCCCTCTCTGAAAATCTTGTTTAAGTTGGACACTAGGATGAATTAGGTCCACCCCAGCTGGAGATATGGGAGGTACAACGCCGTCTGAAAGACCCTCTTGGTCCCCAAACTGCACCCGCACGGATGTTTCCTAGACGTGGAATGCTATTTCCCTTGAGAACCTGCAAGGGCTCTACAGCCACATTTAGGAAATGCTAGGATGAGCCAGCCCAGCGACACACATATCTTTTCTGCAGGACTTATCTTAACCTTGACCGTGCAAATATGCAAGACCCCTCTCCAAGTAGGGGCTCATTTGAATGTTTCACCAGCGGAAACCTCTCACTCTCTCATGGCTAGAGTGTCTCTGAACACTGCAGATGCTGACCTAAGGCCCCAGGGACAAAATGCTTATCACTGGGCAGGGGGATGGGGATGTAGCCCCTGGAAAGAGGGACCATTTGTAACCCAGCAGTTTCCACGAGGGAAACACACTTTCCATTTCCTCTTTCTCTCAACAAATTCTTAACTCCTTCCGGGTTCTATTGCAGGAGGCCCCGAATTTGTTCCTACAAATGCTCCCACTGAAGTCAGAATTCGGTTCACAAGGCACTTTGACTTCGTCTCTTCCCGAGTCGGAGTTTTCTAATAAGGAACTCACGATAGAACTGGGAATCACGACGGCAAATTTCATGGCGCGTTCGTCTGTGTCAGGCACTGAGCTAGGTGTTCTACCTAGATTCTCTCCTTTGAGTCATTCACATTCCCCTTCAGTGAATTCTAATTCGAGCCACTCCCTCTCTGCCCACCAGCCATCGCCATCCTCGGAGGAGACAGTGGGAAATTTCCTCCCCTCGGAGCAGGTCCTAGGGAAAGGGGACGCCAAAGCTGAAACATAATGCAAGCTCCTCCTCCCCTCCCAGGGCTGACCTGGTCTCTCGCGTTCCCCCTGAGAGCCCGGAGTGCTGGGTAAATACAAACGGAAGTACATGTTCCTCACACACTCCGCGGACGCTGTTTGCTCACCCCTGTGAAGGTGCTCCAAGTATTAATACGCACCGCTCTCCCTTTAGCACTCGCCAGGCAATTTACATACGTTACCAGGGATCTCCCAGTGCCCTGGACAAACAGGTACTCTTGTCCTCATTTCACAATCTGAGGCTCAGAGAAGCTAACTGGTTATGTAGATTTGAATCCAAGACTGTTGGGCTCCAAAGTTTCTTTCTAAAGGGCCACCCCCCTTCGCCTGTGTGAATGAATAAACTGACCAAGGAATTGATTTTTCGTATATATAATAACATGATCAGTGAATGAGCTCAAAGATGGAATCCGGGAGGAATGGTGACAAGCTAAATGTGTCCTGAGCCTGTTCTCGGGGTGCCAGGGCAGTTCTCAGCCTTTCCTTCCCAGCATGGCACTGACCCCAGCTTGCCAGATAAACGCAGGACACTCAGGTAAATTTGAATTTCAGGTAAACAGTGAATGTTTGGGTATGAGTATGTCCCAAATATTTCATGGGACGTACTTATACTGAAAAACTATTCAGCTCTTATTCGGATCTGAACTTCCTGGGTTTTTATTTGCTGAACCTGGCAGCCCCATCCTCACGCTGGGAAGTCTCTTGCCTGGCTCAGGTCTCCGGTGTTGCTCCGACAGGAGTTGCCATGGCAGCCTGAGAGGCCTTCCCAGGCCCTTCTGGAGCTGCCTCCACACACCTCTGCAGCTTCCCCTCGCCCCTGCACTCTCTGGGCTCCCAAGAAGCAGAGCTACTTTCAGTTTCCTGGATGCGTCATGCTGCCTTTAGCCTCCGGTCCCTGCACTTGCTGTTCTCTCTCTCCTTCCCTCACCTGGCTAATCCCTATTGATCCGTGACTCTCCACTGAGAGTCACCTCTGCCAGGAAGCCTTCCAGGCCATCACTGACCGGCTCCCCCTCCAGCCCTTCAGCACCGTCCTATGGCAGCTCCCCTACATGCCCACCCCCACCCTCACCCCCACGCTGCCCTGGCGAGCAGAGGCCATGCCACAGGCACCATGTCTCCCCACGCCCAGCCCCTGCGCCTGGCTGCAGGCGGGAGGCTGGTGAGAGCTTCTTGGGTGAATGAAGGCGGACTGTCCCGCCAAAGCTGGGTCTCTCTCAAATGAATGTGCCTACTTCCTTCTGCCCTTCTGTCTCTAGTCACTTTCCCATCCCTGCTTCCTCCTCCTTCCCCTCCCCCCAGTGTGGTTGTGAAACCCCGGGCTCAGGCCAGCAAGGGGGGTGGGGGTGGGCAGAGAGCAGCCAGCGCCCAGGGGTCCCTGCTGCCCACGGCCTGGTCAGCGGCCCAGCCCCAGCCACAGGTCCTGACAGCTCTTCCGCCTCCGGCTTCCAGCCCCTCCTGGCTCTGCCTCCTCTGAGCACAACTTTCTGTTCTTGTTCTCCCACTGGCCCCTTAAATTAGCCGACTGGGGTCTCGCTCCCAGTTCGGGGTGTGGGGAGACGCGGTGCCCCGTCACCGTCACCGGCCGGCCCAGGGCTGGGGCAGGTGGTGGGGCTGGTAAACATCCCCCATATGCTGCTCCGTGGCACCCGCAGAAGCTTTGCCCACGCACAGCCTGACAGCAGCAGGCAGCGGAACTTAACCCTTGGGCGGCGCTGGGAAGGGGGCGTCCGAAGGAACCTGGGTGGCCAGCAGTAACTTTATCCCCGCCGCGCACACTCACGCACACACACAGCAGAGTTGCGCTTCTGTCCCCCTGGCAGAGCCCTGCGTGCTCCGGGGAGGGCTTGATTCACAAGCCGCCCTCTCAGGGGTAAGACATGGCTGCAGGAGGAGTGGGGGGCGGGCTGGCGGAGACCGGACCCCCGGGGGGCTGCAGGGCCCGGCGAGGGAGCAGGGCCGGCGGCCGCGAGCCCGGCACAGGTTCCAGGGCGCTCTCCAACCCGACGCGCCCGCACTCCGTCGCCCCAGCCTCCCCGTCCAACTACGTTAAGAGGACAAAGAAGGAGAAACACCCTTTACTGTCACATTTACTCCCAAAATAGAACACCTCTCCCCCCGCGGAAGGGGAGCCAGCTCCGGGCGTGCACAGCGCCCGCGGCTCCGATTTCCTGGGTGCCTCGCCCCTTCTGGGAACTCCCAGGCTCGTCCAGGTGGCCGGTCCCGCAGTCCTCGTCCCCCCGCCCGCCCGGCCCTGCCACCCGGGCCACCCTCCAACTTCTGCCCCGCGCGGCGCTCAGCCCCGGCTGGCGGGAGGGGACTCACCCAGCGAGGCGCGGCCCGGCGACTGCTCCTCGGCTTGGCCAGGTGAGTCGGGCTGTGGCAGGCACAGGTGAGCGCGGCCCGCGGCAGGTAGGGCGCCTGGCGGCTCCGGAGGCTGCAGCTGAGTAAGAGGCTGACAGGTTTGTGTTCCCCTTCTTCCTCCTCCTCCTCGTTGTTAACCACACCCCTGCCGCTCTCCTCCCCACTTGCTTAAAGGGTGGGGTGTGTCGTCTGTGTGGCTGCTCCAGCCTCTTACCATAAACTCTGAAATAGACGCTGCCACCAATTCCCCGGGTTGCCCGGCCACCTGGGGGGGCCATGTCTGCCATCCCTCCGCCCCAGATGGGATCCTCGGATGTCACATGCCCCTTGTGAGCACAGACCGGGCAATTCCTACCAGCCCCCTCCTCCTCCTGCTCCACCTGCAGCCGTTTGGAGGCAACACTTCTCAGGTTGGTTTTTGCTGGAGTTGGAGACTGTTACCTATACTGTACTCTCAGCACCTGTGTCCCTGTCGCTCCACATCCTAGAAGTGGCCACAGTCCCTTTTCAGAGCTTGGAAAATCAGGTGAATACCACCAGCGGTTTGGACAGAACTGCTCCAGGTCCCTGAACTCCAGGGCCCAGGTCCCTAAGCTGTGACCAGGCAGGGTCAGAGGGCAGTCCACGAACAGTGGAGAAGTTACAGCCTCTTCCTGGAGCCCCGTCTGCACGTTGGTCCACCTGGCTGCCCAGACAAGGGGGCTGCTGCCCTCTCTGCTCAGGCCAGCGGCGGTAAGACCTGAGGCAGGTGCTCAAGGGCACTTAGCAACATTTCTTCCCTCTCTCTAGGAAGATTCCAGACTTTCTCCTGAGCGGGAGGTGACCTGGACTTGGCATACGGCCAAACAGCCGGGGTGGACTCAGCGTCACCCACATCCTCAAAGGCCCTCTCCAGAGCCCCTGCCCCAGGCTTCTTTATTCTGTGTCCTGCAGGCGGTGGGGGTCTGACTCCCAGGGCTGCCCCGTTGCGCAGTTCTAGAGAATGCTATTCACAGCGTAGTCTCTGAGAGCGGTGCCCCCTGGAGTTGTGCACAGTATTTGGTGAGCCAGCACCCGGCGAGCTGGTCCTGAGTGCCAACACTGCACTAAGGAAGCGCTTAGTTTATGTGATTGCATTGAATTCTCCCCGTTTTCTGAAGACTTAGATTAATTAATAAGGCTGGAAAGTCAGTGTTTCTCAAAGTGTCATTGGTGGGCTACCTGAAGGTTTTACCTGGATGCCACTCAAGGTCTGTTGAAGATCAGAAGCTGGATGCACCTGCCCCAACGTGGAATTCACAGCCCACGTGACGGGCGCTTGCATCCGTGACTGCTGGTCACCTCCCTCTCCAACCCTCCTTCTTCTCATTCACCAACTTTTTGTGCTCCCAGCACTCACTGGGAGTCTTGGAGGTAATGCCAGTGGCTGCACAGGCAGGTCAGACACCTGAGTGAGCTGCCGAGGGCCTGTACTGAGGTGTGGCTGGGAGCTAGAAGAGCAAAGCCAGCCGATCCAGACCGGCTCAAGAGAAGGTGGGTTTGCGTGTGCTGCCCCCGTGTGGCCATATCGATGAACTACAACCTCATCTCACCAGAGCGGATTCTGGGAAAGGTGAGTTTTCAGAGGTTGAATTCTTCTGCACTTTTTTGAAGCTCCTAGAATCACAGAATCGTAGGTTTGTAAGTGGAAAAGACCTTAAGAAGGTGGCCAACTCCGCCTTCAGATCTCTTTGTGTTCTTTCCCAGTGTAGCCCACGAGGGACGAAGGTGACAAGGTCACCTATTTCTGCTTGTCACCTGCCTTTTAAAACACCTGTCAGAATGCCTCAGAATTCTACAGCAATATCTAAAAGGCACCACCCACGTCTCCTGGTGGGTTGCAACAATGACCTACCCCAGCGGAGAAGCAAAACATTTCCCTCTGTCTGCTTCTGCCTGTTTCTCTGGCTGGCCAAGTGCCCCGTGGGAGGCGCTGGTCGTGGGGGTGGGATGTGTGCTTGGATCAGCAGGAAGAGAAAACTGTAAGGAAACAAGACTTGGAGCAATGTCCTCCCTCGCTGCTGGACTTTTCCACTCAGACGCTGCCCCCTTACTGCACTCAGGTTCACAATCATGCATCACCTTGCTCCCGGAACAGACTCACCCCTCGCCTCCCCAGCACTGTCCACAGCGGCAGAGTCTGTGACTCCCCTGCTCCCTCACTGCCCCACAGCCGTGCGATCTCTGAGTCCCGGAACCCCCCTGAGCATCTTTCCTCGTCATCGTTTCCTCTTCATCGTTTCCTCTGAGTCCCGTCAAGCCCACCCTGGTTCAGGTTCCCTGTGTCTGGACTCCTGCAAAAGGGTCCCCCTAACCTGTCCCGCACTCCTACTCTGGGAGTAGTTGGGACGGCAGCTTGTGAAAGTGGTCTGAGCTGGTGAGTAGCTTTTGGGATGCATTTGACACCGGGGAACGGATAAGATTGTCCAGGGCAAGAATAACAAGGAGCAGAGGCCTTCAGGTCAGGCTCTTACCAGGAGCAAATTAATGAAGAGGCCAAGGTCCGATGGGGTGGGCTGATGAGTGAATTGGAAGTTAAGACACAGAGGCAGCACGTGCCTTTTTCGGAGCATCCTAACTAATATGCCATCCCTTGGCCTACTTTAGGTACAAATTAAGGCAGAACTTCAATTTCCTCATCTAGAAAATGGGATTAATTTACCTTACAGGGTTGTTGGAAGGACTAGAGGTAAGTAGTCCACGCACATTTCCTGGCTAGTGCTACGGCTCATAGCCAACTATTCATGGATATTATGTCCTGTAGCAACTTTTAAAATGGGCTCCCCCCAAAATTATGGTTACTTTCAAATATTCCACTTCTCCCCTCCCAAAAAAATGTGGAGAGGAGAGAAGAAACGAAAATAGCAAAGTTGATAACGATGTAAGCGGAATGATGGGTACACAGTGGTTAATTATACCGTTCTTTCCATAATACTGAGTGTATTGAAAATGTTCATAATGAAAAAGTTAAAATAAATGAACAGAATAAGATCTTTCCACAGAGACGAAAAAACATAGGCTCCTGGAAATAATCCAACGTGAATCTCCTTGGGAAAAATAAAGGCTTATTTAAGCCATTGAGAAATTGATCCGGGTCTCTGAGAGTGAGTGCGGCAGGGAAAAACGGCAGGAGGGTGTTTTTCGTTTTTTCCATTAAAGAGCAACAGGCAGAGAGCCTCAGTGCCATGGAAGCCACGTGATTTCCACCACTATTGGGCACCTTGGGGGCTTCCGTACCTCCCACAGTGGCTGCAGGATGCTTCTTCAGAGAGCAGCTGCCGGGAAAAAGAGCCTTCCCTGCTGCCCTGCCCACTCCAAGTTAGCTTCATAACTTCTGTGGCTTTGGTCTTCTTGGAGCTCATCTGGTCCCCTACACCCCAGGGGTAAGCTCTGAAGCGACAGAGTGACTGCACGAACCTTGTCTTGCCATTGTTGACTTTGACAGTCCTAAGGAACATGGCTATCTGGTCCCAGTCCTGGAAGCATCGACTAGGAAGTGGAAGCAGATTGCTGCAGGGAGATGCACTGTTAGTAGCAAGAAGAACCTCTAGAAAGGAAAGAAAAACAAAAATGCCCAGCAAGTACAAGAGCCCTAAAACACAGGCATCTGTGGCCATTAATAGGACAGAGACAAACCCTGCATACTTCGTTAACTCCTGAGGGTGTCACTTTATCATAAGCACAGAACAGTCAATGTGGTCAATTTTGGTAAGTCATGAGGAATAGTTTAAGTTATATTCTGCATCCTTTATTTCAGAGGGGTATAAAAGCACACGCTATATTTCAGAAATATTCCTATACAAAATGTTTGCAATAACATAATTGGCTGCTTAAATATAAATTTCAGGAACATGGAAAATCAGCTTTGACTGTGTTTTGTCCAGTTGCCAAGCTGCCCATCTGTTCCAGAGTGTTTAGCCATTCTCGCGCCTTTGCCTTTACAGTGAATGGCAGCGATGTGTTAACTTCCACTGTGGCTGATCTAGACAAGGGGTTAAAGCCCAAATGCCTACAGTAGGCCAGGCAGGGAATGTGAGGGAAGCTGGCTGGATAGGAACTGTGGCAAATTGGAGAACAAATGTCCATCCTACAGGAGCAGCTGCTGTTCAGCTCGAAAGTCTATTGCCATGCAGGAAAGTAAGCTTAATGTAGCCAGATCTTCCCTTGAAAAAAAAAGAAGAAAGAAAGAAGGCAGACGGTGAATTATCAGCAAAGGAAATTAAGGAAACAATTCCACTTACGATAGCATCCAAAAGAATAAAATACTTAAGGAATAAACAACCAAGGAAGTGAAAGACTTGTACACCGAAAACTACAAAACATTGCTGAAAAAAATGACAGAAGGCATAAGTAAATGGAAAGACATCCTGTGTTCATGGATTGGGAGACTCAGTATCGTCCAGGTAGTTGCCTACCTAACGGCGACATCCCCCTCTTTCATATTAAAAATAAATAGCAGAGCCCCAAATGCGTCTCTGGTGACCATTGTTCCATCACGTGACTCAGGTCAATCCTGACTGGTTCAATCTGATCACGGTGGTCTCATTCCCCTTGCCAGTGATGAATTTAGAGTGAGCGTGTGACCCAGTTCTGGCCAATAAAACGTGAGGGGAAGTCTTCTAGAAGATTTTGGGAAAGGTTTCTCAGCTTTTAAAATGAGACATACGCAGGGAGAAATGGCCCTATTTCATTTCCGGACATTGGTTCACATCAAGATAAGATGCTGGAGCTGTCACAGACATTTTCCAACCACGAGGAAGCTGTAGGCACTGATGCAATGAGCCCTGGAGCCTTTTTGCCTCCAGACTTCCTGTTATGTGAGAAAATCAACCCCCTTCTTGCTTAAATCATTTTGTGTTGCATTTTGTATGTGGATAGCTTAAATGACACAAAGAAAAATATGTGGATTTTATTTTATGGATCAAGTAAAAGATGTCTGTAGCCAAATCTGGCCCAGAGGCAGGCAGTTTACCACCCTCGGTGTTTCCCTAGTCACTTGCATTAAGTGCTATTTCTTATGGAAGTTCTCCAGCATTATTCAGGCCGACTAAGAGCACTCCCCTCCTTGTTTCTGTGCTTTAGGCCTCAGAGAAGGTCCAAGCCATCACTGTGTCCCACATCAAGCATCAGACTACAATGACTTCCTCAAAGATTTCCTCGGTGACAGTTCTCTGACGAACAGAGTCTATCGTGTCTGCAGCTCCGGTTGCCTGTTTCTGAAGACGTACTGCCAGGCCTGCAGCTGACCCACTCAGCAGCCTTTCTCCTTGTCCCACCAACACTTTTTGGTCTGAATTTCTATTCTTCGTTCTTATTTTGATGTGTGGCCCCATTCAGAGTATAAGGAAAATAAACAAACAAACAACAAAACAAATAAGGAAAATCAGGTAAGAATAGAATGAAACAAATAGATGGCAATACAGATGGAATCACAGAGCAACTGGGAATGCATAAATAAGAGAGCACAAGGAATGAATATGACAAGAGACAAGATTCTCCAGGAAGTGCCTGGCATGTAGGGTTATTGGCCCCATCTTGTGGCTTTTTTGGATACTGCCCCTGGAGGTTAGTTTTTTGAACCAGTATCCATAGCTGGAGACCTGACAACGTGTTGGGCGGGTCATCTAGAACATTGGCTCTGAAACTTTAGTGGGCCTGAGAATCACCCGGTGAGTGTGTGAATATGCAGACTCCTGAGCCTCTTCCCCAAGAGAGGGGAGTAGGTCCAAGTGGGCCCAGGAAGCTGTGCTTTTAGAAAGCTCCCCAGGTAATTGCAGGAGGTCCGTAGACCACATATAAGAAACACTGAAGGCAATATAAGAATTAGTGGTATCTTTTCCCTTGGCATTGTGAGGAAAGGACTATTCTGAGGACAAGTTTAGAAGGAAATCGTCAAGAGCTGTAAAGGGTCTGAGATTTTACCTTACTTGCAAACTAACAGATTAAGTTAGCATGCCAGTTTCATTCATGTTAACAAAAGGTAGGAGACTCCTGTTCAGAGAGGAAGGACAGTTTATTCCTAAAAGCGGTAACAGTAGTCAGAGTATTGTCATCAGGCCAGTTTTCTGAGCTCCAATTCCCACAAGCCTGTGTGATGAGGGTGACAGTAGGTTGCATGATAGGAGAGGAACCCTGAGTTTAGGAAATCTGAACCTTTTATAATGGGGAGTAAGTCTGCTACACCTTTGTTTGGAGGAAGTCATTATTTCTGCCTCCCAGGGCTGTTCACCACCGAAACATTCTGAAGAAGACAGTTGGGGAAAAGGCAGTCAGTGTCTCTGCTCTCAAGACGTGCAGGGACACGAAACATGTGGAGAACGGTCTCCCAAGAGAACAGGAATGGAAGTGTGTCATGTGAAAAGTATTCTCCATCTGAAGGCTGTAAAGTGATCAAACTGAGGCAGGAACAGGCAGTTGGAGGAATTCAGGCCTGCTGTACCAACCAAGAATTCAGCCTAGATTCCAGTTTTCCCAGCTAAACTTTGCAGAAGTCCTTAATCTGTTTTAATGGAGACCTGTCTAATGTCATAGTCGCGTTCCATATTTCATGTTTCAAGTTTATCTTCACATTTCACGGAGACAGAGATAGTACAGCCATTTTACTCATGAGGAAATAGATTGTGAAAGATTGTGACTTGTCCGCTTATTCAAACATAGGAAAAGAATCGGGTCCTCTCAGAGGTCCTCTACCCTCATTTGCTTCCTCTATTACCGCGGGGGGCCGGAGTAAGACTGGCCAAAATAAGGAAACCACCGACACAAGAGTGGAGACAGGTCTTTGGAAAGGCTCTACATGCCCTAAGTAGAGAGAGCACCGACGGTGCTTTAAGACCCAGCCACTACTTCGGGGCCAGGATCCCCGGTTTCTCCCACCTCGCACGCCTGAGATTCCCAGGGATTGGTTAAGGAAGGAGTTCCTAGATTTCATTTCCCATCTCGAGTCGGAAGTAGGTTTCCAGTGACACGGAAGCCTTACAGCGCAGCGGGCAACCTCTTCCGCGCCGGAATGGGCCGGCACGCCCCGGACGCCGGGAGCCAGCTGGCCGGACCGAGGGCACCGCACCCGCCCCGCTCTTCCGGGGTTTCCCTCGCCAACCGGAAGTGAGGCGGGGCCTCCCTGCACGCCCCGCGCGATTGGCCAGCACCGCCGTCGCTCAGCGCTCCGAGGGGAAGGGGCTGGGCACCGCCCTCTGTCGGGCCGCGGGAGCGCGCCGCTGGGCAGGTGGGAGGGGCCGGGGCGACAGTCTGGGGCGCCGGAGCCGGCGGCTCGGGCCATGGAGCGGAGCCCCGACGCGTCCCCCGGGCCTTCCCGCTCCTTCAAGGAGGAGCTGCTGTGCGCCGTCTGCTACGATCCCTTCCGCGACGCCGTGACTCTCCGCTGCGGTCACAACTTCTGCCGCGTGTGCGTGAGCCGCTGCTGGGAGGTGCAGGTGGCGCCCACCTGCCCGGTGTGCAAGGACCGCGCGTCGCCCGGCGACCTGCGCACCAACCACACCCTCAACAACCTGGTGGAGAAGCTGCTGCGCGAGGAGGCTGAGGGCGCGCGCTGGGCCGGACACCGCTCCCCGCGCGTCTGCCGCCTGCACCGCGGCCAGTTCAGCCTCTTCTGCCTCGAGGACAAGGAGTTGCTGTGCTGCTCGTGCCAGGCCGACTCCCGGCACCAGGGCCACCGCGTGCAGCCCGTGAAGGACACTGCCCACGACTTTCGGGTAAGCGCGGCAGAGCGCGCGAGGTGGCCGAGCCGGCCGGCCGGAGCCCAGCACCGCGTGGCTCTGCTGCTCCCGCCCCTCCTGCCAGCCGGAGCCGCCTGTGCCCAGTCCCAGCCCAGGACCCCCACCTCTCCGACCCCGGTTACCTGCCGGGGCTGTCTTCATCAAGGTGGCCCAGGGGTCCGAGGTGGGAGAAGAGAGAATGTAAACAGAAAGTGAGAGCTGGGATTCCATGATGTTCTCAAGACAGCCCCATGCCCTTCTGTAGGGCCGAGGCCATGCCCTCCTTGTGCCAGCGGGATGTGGCCCAGGCCCCTTTGAGCAGCACTGGTCTGGCTAATGCCCACGAACTCTCGAGCTTGGCACGCTCAGCTTAGAAGTGGAGGAGGAGCCCGAGACCTGGCCAGGCATATGGAGCGTTAAGATCACCCCCAAATCAGTTACCTGCTTGCGAGCTGACCCCACGGTTGTGTTATCTTGGCCTCTGGTCCCTGTCAGCTGGTTTATTCTGGCTTAACACTCAGCATCCTAATGCCTTGAGTTCCAGGCTGTAAATAAACCAAGGAGAAACTGACAGGGCAAAACTAACAAGGAGAATCCTTTGGTATAGGAAGGAAAAATGACCAGAAAATAAGGGTTAGCCAGGCTCAGCATTTTTCGAAATGTTTGACTTTAGCCTGTAGGAAGAAAGCCATTTTCCACTGTGGCTTAGAACATCCTAGAACATATGTATCAGTTGAAACAAAAGTTTTCTGAGAAAGTCCGTTGTACCCTGGCATTTTCTGTTACTTTACCTTTTAACAATTATACGGAATGTGAAACACTAAATTTATTTCATCACCTCCTAATACATGAGTCACACCCACAGTTTGGAGAACACTGGTTGCTGAGAGGAAGCTGAATGCATGAAAAGGAGGCCCTGCAAGAAACCCCAGTGCTTGGTCTCCAGACACCCCCTCCTTTTTTTTTTTTTATTGCAGCACCTTTGTTATGAAATATCAAATATTGACTACATTTTGATGAAGTTCAAGGGGAACGTAAAGGTGCCATCTGTACACATGTCTGACAAGTAACCCTGTATTGCTCCTGTCACCGTTTTTGTTTAACGGTCCACAACAATGCTTTTTCCCATCCCCACTGGCGGAAGTGTCAGGTCCTGATTTGGACAGCTGAAGAAAGTGCTGGCCAGCCTGGAGGGGGACCATGGATTGGGTCATGAGTAGTCCCCATGGGGCTGGCAGGGGTACAGATCAGGAGATGGGGAGGGGTCAAGGCTGCGAACACCCAGGCAGAGCCCCCAGGTCAGGGCCAAGCCCAGGATTCGAGAGCGGTGAGCTAGTCACCAGAGCACAGGGTTAGTGACAACTTTCTGTGTATTCAAGCAGATGCCTTGTACTGCTAAGTCCCCAGATACTGCAGGAAACGAGATAGATGACAATTCCTAGCTTCAGGGAGCCTCCAGCAGAAACTGGAGGGACAAGGAGGTGTTAGCCAGGTGAGGGAGGGTATTCCAGGCAGACCCCCATCAGGAGGCATACACCTGACGTTTCTCTGACGTCTTCTCTTTTGCATTTTACCCTGTAGTAGGTCTGATAGTGATGGCATGCATTTCTATGGCATCTTGAGTTGCTTCTCTGTCTCCTGGTCACCCAACACAGCAGCATATGGAAAGATCTGGAAGTGGGGAAGCCTGACTTTTCCAGGCACTGAGAGAGTTTCAGAGTAGTTAGAGTAGGGATGGAGGTGCAGGAGGATCTGACAGGCCTGAGCCTTGGCCTTTACCCTAAAGACTGAAGTGAGCAGCTGGGGGTTTTAGCAGAAGAATAGTGACATCTGAGGGGCAGGGAGGAGTCTAGTCCCAAAAAGTCTGAGGACGGTGCAAGCCGAGGGTGGTCAGCTTAATGTGGGTGCCACTCACTCATTTACTAGACCGATAGGTACTGAGGGCCTGTCGTGTGCCACGGCCTCTTACAGCCTGGTAGAGTTCACACGGCAGCGGGAAAGCCCGTCAGTAGATGAGGCGTGGTTCTGCGTGACTGGAGGCGGCTGTGGGGAGCAGTAGGGGAAGTTGCCCCCACCCTCGGCGAGAAGGGGCAGGCCAGAGGCTGTGTGCCCTGCCGAGGGGCTTTTCCCCTGTGTGCTGTGGGGAGCTGTGGAAGATTCTAGATAGGGGATTTTGTGATGAGATGCACGCTTTAGAAAAAAATTACTTTGGCAACTGTGTGAGCAATTCAGCAAAAGTAATAATCGTACCAGCTAACACGTTTTGAGTACCCACTGTGTGCTGGGTGCCTTTAAGTGTTCACATGTCAACAAGTTTAATGCTCACAAAAACACTATGAGGTTGTGTGTGAGTTTCCTATTAATGCCATAAAAATGGCCACATAGTGGTTTAAAAGAGCATGAACTTATTATCCTTTAGTTCTGGAGGTCAGAAGTCCTGAATCAAGGTGTCAGGAGGGTTTCTTTCTTTTCTAGGAGACTCTAGGGGATAATTTATTTCCTTGCCTTCTCTAGCTTCTAGAGGCCCCTTCCTCCGTCCCTAAAGTGCATCATTCTATTCTGCTGCTGTTGTCACTTTGCCTTCTTTGACTAATTCTACTACCTCCCTCTTACGGGGATTCAATTATACTGGGCCCACCCGGTTAATCTAGGATAATCTCCCTGGATCAAGATCCTTAATTTAATCATCTGCAATTTCCTTCTGTCATATAAAGTAATAAATCCACAGGTTCTAGGGATTAGGAAGTGCACATCTTTTGTGGGGGCCATTCAGCTTGCTACAGGTAGGTACTGTTATCCCCATTTTATAGACAACGACACTGAGTCTCAGAGAGGTTAAGTAACTTGTCCAAAGTCACAGAGCAAGTAGATACAGAGTTCACCTGGGGCCTTGTTCAGTCCTCACTCTGGCCCTGGACTTTGAGAGAGGCTTCCCTTGTTCCAGAGCCGTGGAGACAGCCAGCTCTGGGTGTGGGCATTAGAGGTTTGAGTGGCTGTTGACCACTGTGTGGGCAGGCAGAAGGTGGTGACTGAGTGCCTACTATGTGCCAGGCACGGTGTGTCCAGTAGGGGACAGGACAGTTTAAGATAGACCCAGCGTTTGTAGAGTCAGGTGGGCATGACTGAAGCATCTAAGAATGCCATCGGTTCAGCTGACACTCCGTGAGGGACAGTGCGGGATGTGGTGGTAGACTGTAAGAGGGGGCCTGTTCTTGTCTGGTGGGGCGTGGGAAGGAGTCTCCAAGGAGGTGGCTTCGCAAGAGGAGCTAAGACAGGGGCGGCCGGCAGTGAGGGGGGTGCAGGGCGGGCCATGCAGTGACAGGGAGGTGTTTCAGGTGAGGAATGAGGGGGTCCAGGACAGACCCCACAGGGTGCTGAGGGGCTCGTTAGGGAGCTGGGGTTTTGTCCCAAGTGCAGTGCGCATGATGGGAATGACCGATGGCGTCTGGGAGCATGGCGCAGTGTTTAAACCAGAACTCTGGAAGGAATGAGCGCTTGGAGGGACCTTGGGAAATCCCGGAGTGCGGTGTCTCTCAGACTTGAACAAGGCCACATGCTTCTTAAAGGAAAAAGTAGTCCAACAGTGTGACTTAAATTATTTTATCGTATTACTCGCGTGCATACAAACAAAACTGGTGTAAATTCACTTGCTTATACAACATATAGGCAATAAAACCAAACGAAGTGGATAGATTAAGTACAAATAAAACTTAAAATCAATAACATTACTTAAAATAATAATTATAGGGTTTCGTTTTGCTGAAATGAAACCTCTGCTCCTGGCAAAGATACTTTTGGTTCCCCATTTACTCTGTTCCAAGTGATTACTTGATTTGTGAAAATTTCCCTGTTTGAAGAGCTCTGAAACTTTCATATGATGGGACTGGCTTTCATTTGGCTCTAGCGCATTCTTTACCTGCTAAGTGTATTTCTGCTCTTTCCTTAAGACAAGGAAGGTAGGATAGCCTGCTGGCAAGTAAGTTGTTAACGAAACACGAATGCCGGTGCTGAAGTGCTGGGAGCCAAAAGCGTGTGTCAGCGCTGTTTGTGAGATGACTCAGAATAGGTTCATCCTAGTATTGTTTTAGGTTGTCATTAAATGAAAACACCCTCAAAATACACAGACACAGACCCACAGGGACTGTGAGGAGATGGTTACTTTTCACTAATGGGAAGATGGAAGCTTGGACAGCCACTGAGTGAGAGCCAACGCTTACTGAATGCGCAGCACGCGCCTGCCACTCTCCTGTAAGCATTTTACGTGGACCGCCTTGTGGAGTCCTCACAGCCGTCCTTTGGGCTTGTCCAGCTGGGGAAACAGGTGCAGAGAAGTTGGGGAACTTGCTCAGGATCCCCTGAGCAAGTTAGGTGGGATCTGAACCTGGGTGGCCGGGTGCCAGCGCCCTTAGCTACATCACCAATCTGCCTGAAAACAAAACATTTGAAATACACAGGAAAAAAGACAGGAGGCGCAGGTGACGGGCCAGCTTAGCATGGACAGAGGAAACACTGGTGGTTGGTGACAAAGACCAGGCTCCAAATCGGCCGTCCTAACCTTCAGTGCGAGGTAGTGTAGCGGCAAGAACGTGGGCATTCGTCGCGCTCGATGGGCGCGTGGTTACCTGGGCACCTGCCCTGTGCCTAGACCTGACGACGTGCGGGGAACTCAACACTCTCTGGCCTTGCAGAGCACCTGTTCCTTCCTTCTGTAAAGGTGTGCTGAGCGCCACTGTGCCAGGTAGAGAGGACCTGGCGGGTAGGAACTGCCCTTGGGAAGCGATTATTCCGGATAGTGACTGTGAGTGCCGGCATGGAGGTGTCGGGGCACTGAGAGAGCCCCTGGAGACACATCTGAACAGAACCTGAACTGGAGAGATCAAGGTGGCTTCCTGGAGGACATGAGCGGCGCCAGAGCTGAGTTTTCAAGGTGGTGTTGAGATAGTTGGGGGATGCAGGTGGGGACCAGGCAGAGGCAGTGGCATGTGTAGGGTCTCACA